GCCTTTATGCCAAGGACAACAGGTGGAGATTCATCGAGTGGATCCTCACCAGCGACGCACTCAAGCGGACGGCCGCAGACGACAGGCCTGAGGCGTCCTTCACCTTCACCCCCCCGTCCATCGGCCTGAGTGACATTGCCTTTTTGCAGTTCACATCGGGGTCGACGGCGGCGCCCAAGGGGGTGATAGTCACGCACGGGTCGCTGCTGCACAACGTCCATTGCTGCGCCTCAACCCTCGGCTTTGACAGCAACATCGACGACCCGACCATTCCCAACATCACAGTGACAGGCCAGCCGTACACCAGGACGCGCGAGATCCTGATGCAGCGTCACGAGATCAGCGAGCGGGTGCGGGGCCACCGGCTGCGGCTCTTCTCCTGGCTTCCCGTCTACCGGGACATGGGGCTCATCGGCTTCCTCTGCACGCCCATTTTCTTTGGATTTGAGCTCTTCCAGATCTCACCGCTCGACTTCGTCAGGAAGCCGCACCTGTGGCTGCAAGGTAAGGTGCCTCTCTGTACGAGTCTCGAGCTGACCGCCGAGTGGTGCTTGACTTGAATGCATGGCTTTTGGTCTGTGTGTCGTTCGCATTCACGCAGGCATGAGTCGCTACAAGGCGTGTGCGTGTGCTGCGCCCAACTTCGCCTTTGAGCTCGTGACGCGCAAGATGCCCGACAGCGTGTTTCACGAGCTGGACCTCAGCCACGTCATGGGGTTCCTGTGCGGGGCAGAACCAATCAGAGTAGTCACCGTGGACAAATTCGTCAAGGTACGTGCGTGCGGCAAGCAAGCTAGCCGTCGACAGAACGTAGGATTCATGAGCACCCTGGCTGTCTGTGCGCACTCTATATGACTTATTGAACAGAAATTTGAGAGCAAAGGAGTGCGTCGAAGCATGTTCCTTCCCGCGTATGGGTTGGCTGAGAACACCTTGTTCGTGACAGGCCGCAAAGGCATCGATAGCGAGCCGCTCATCATCAATGTCGACGCCAAAAAATTGAGGAGCCAAGTACATGATGAACGAATGGGCTGGCTACACACGAGACAACCATCCGACTGTGTGTGTGGCCAGGGTGTGGTGGAGTTGGTGGATGAAGCTGACATGCCCGCAGGCGGCTACCAGAGGCTCGTCGGATGTGGCGTGCCCTTCCCTGGGATAGACGGTACACACACACACCGCACCATGACCAACGCCGGTCGATCACCGACTGCTTCGTTCAGTTCGAATTGTTGATCCCGAGACTCTGAAGGAGCTGCCAGAGGGCCGTCGCGGCGAGGTGTGGGTCATGTCTGGCAGCACGGCCCGTGGCTACTTCAACCTTCCCGACAAGACGCGGGAGTCGTTCCACGGGCAGTGCATCTACCGCACGGGGGACAAGTCGGAGCCCTTATACCTCCGCACAGGTGACAGCGGCTTCCTCTACAAGGGAGAACTCTTCATCGCCGGCCGCATCAAGGACATGATCATCGTCCGGGGCCGCAACTACTTCCCCCAAGACATCGAGGAGGCAGCAGAGGGCTGCGAATCAGTCCGCAAGGGGTGCGTGGCGGCGTTCTCACTGGAGGTGGATGATCACGAGCGGCTGGGTCTGGCGGTCGAGATCAAGATGGAGAAGGGGACGGGGACGTTGGGATGGCTCTCGGGGCTGTGGCAGGCGTTCACCAGTAAAGGGGCTCAATACAGGCAAGTCGGCCGCGAGATATGCAAGGCCGTCTCGGCCAAGGTGGGGATTCCCGTCTTCCACATATGGCTGCTCGAACCAAGAACCATCCCAAAGACAACAGCAGGTACGTCTATTTGACGTACACATATGCCGATAGACAATGTCAGATTCAAGCGTTGTTGTCCTTGGCTTCTGTCGCTGCCTCTCGTCAGGCAAAGTTCGTCGGTTCAAGACGCGTGAGCTCCTCCTCAACATGGTGCTGGCGGGCCTCATCTGGGATGAGGTTGTGGCTGAGCCCGACACGGACAACGAGGAGCAGGCCGCAGCAGCTCACCTACCCACCAACGAGGCGTCAGTAGCCGAGTGTGCCGCAGGAGGAGACAATGATGATTCCCCAGCTGCTCGGACGAGGCCGTCTGGCGGCTCCGTTGCGACACAGGAGGAGGCAACGGGCCAGGGCCTCTTCATCGGACAGAGGAGGGAGATGGTCCAGTCAGCAGTATTGGCGTCGGCGGCCAAGATCCTGGGCAACACCGACACATTCGACTTCGACGCGCCTCTGCACGAGCTGGGTGTCGACTCCATCGGTGCAGTGGAGTTTGCCGAGAACGTGTCCCAGACGCTGTCGCTGCACATCGAGCCAACGCTCATTTTCAATTACCCAACGACGAATGACATCATCAACTTCCTCGTCGGCGAGCTGGAGGGCCACGCCGCTGCTGAGGAGGCCGCACAAGAGGGCGGCAAACTGGTGGGCGGCATCAGGGCAGACGAGCCCATCGCCATCGTGGGTGCGGCGTGCCGTCTGCCGGGCGGCAGCTCGTCGCTGGAGTCGCTGTGGGAGCTGTTGAGCACCGGCGGCGATGCGATAGTGGAGGTGCCGCTGACCCGCTGGAACGTCGACGAGCACTACGATGGGGACCCCGACATGGAGGGCAAAATGTACATCCGGGAGGGGGGCTTCATTGACAACGCAGAGATGTTCGCCGCCGCCTTCTTCAAAATCGGCCCCGCAGAGGCCAAGACCATGGACCCCCAGCAGCGCATCATGCTGGAGGTCAGCTACGAGGCATTCCACAGCGCTGGCTACTCACGGCAGACGCTCATGCGCAGCCAGATCGGCGTTTTCGTCGGCTGCTGCTCCTTTGACTGGCACCACGTGCAGAACCAAACGGCCCTCAGCGTGAGCAGCTACAGCACCAGCGGGGCCGCCGCATCTATCCTCAGCAACCGCATCTCCTACATTCTCGGCCTCCAGGGGCCATCCATGACGGTCGACACGGCATGCTCATCCTCACTCGTGGCCCTCGACACCGCCGTCTCCAACCTCCGACGAGGCGTGTGCAGCACGTGTGTGGGGGCCGGCATCAACCTGATGCTCAACCCGCAAGTTACGGTGGCGTTCTGCAAGGCGCGCATGATGGCTCCCGACGCCCGATGCAAGGCATTCGATACGTCGGCCAACGGCTATGTTCGTGGTGAGGGTGGGGCCGCCATAATCCTCAAGCGACTTTCCGACACATCCGCCGACTCGGTGGGCGTGTTGGCTTGCCTGAGAGGCACGGCCGTCAACCACGGGGGGAGGGCAGCCAGCCTGACAGCCCCCAGCGGGCCGGCCCAGCAGCAGGTCATCAGGTCGGCGCTGCGCCAGGCCGGCCTCCAACCA